TCAGGTAATTGTATTGAAGTAGGTTATTGTGGATGTAATAGTTCTTTAGAGTAGTAACTATTTACCTGCTCAATACAATAAAGCCTTATACTCGGACAAAGGGGAGCGTGGATCACAATAGCCCCGACTCGCTGTTTGTTTTCCACTGTCTTGAACACTTTGATACTTCAGTGACCTTTAACACACACAAGTTATAAGCTAATATATCTTATTTATTGTGTTTTTGCAATTCACTTTATTTATTACTAGCTTTCGCCCGCGACTCCGTTCGCGTGGTATTAAAAAACAAATGAGCTTGTGTCCCTTCAGACTATCCTCTACATCTGTATGAAATTTAATCGAAATCCCTTAGCCATTTAGGCTACAAATTCTAACAAACATCCATCTAAACTTTCGAATTTATCATTTTAGTATGATTCTTTGGTTCGTAACTACGTAACTTCGTGTTTAAGAGCTTGAGTACACCTTTGACTAAACTATCGCACAACCCTTTAGTCTCGCTTTGATTTCTATAAGCTTACATGAATAGTTTAGTCAAAGACGTATGCCCTAACTAATGTTTGTAAATTGTAATACAAAGTATAAAGTTAATGAACTGACAAGTGAGATATAACTCGAGTTCTCTTTGTTGAATCTGTGAAGTCGACTGAAGATAGAGGAGTGTAACTTTTGTACTCCTTTTCATAAGTCACTTTGTTAATTTGCTTCTTCACAAGTTCCTAGAATTATGTACCGCACTCAGAGACCATCAAGTCAACACTAAGTCTACCTTTGAGACTAAATAAAGACTGCAGTAAGTGATTCATGTTCAGAACGTTCTGTCAAAGGTTCGCACAGCCTTTATGCTTAAAGTGCACGTTTCTTCTAACAACATGGTTGAATCTTGAAATATCAAAAGAAACTAAGTAATTAGGTAACTAATCTTTACCCTTTTTTTTTAGTTATTGTAGTCTTGAACGTTACAAGCAATCTCGGTGAATTCTTTTAGATTAACTTCGGTGTAGATTGAAATAATCTATACTTCTATACTTTTATAATAAAGCGTAACACACACTTCTTTGTTGCCTAAGATGTCAGCAATTACAGCATATTTTTGATTAATTCTTTTTTTAATAAAAAGCCCTACACTTACGTCACGCTTTAGGCTATATATTTTCACGTAATTAAACTTAGGGGTAAATATTTTGTGTAAAAACCCTAATGTGGGAAAGAGACAATAAGTTACTGCCAACATCAAGGAAGCAAGGTTGCCATGGTTTGTCATCATGTCATGGCATTTTGACATTTGCAATTGATAATTTGACACAGTTTTCTTAATTTTGTGCGGATGAAGTCGCAGGGGAACAGCTAGTAAAATATAATTTCGCGGCAATTTAACCATTAAGGCGACACAACTGCGAGTTGACTGCAGTGACATTTATATATCGTCGTCTCTTTTGTTATCCATACGAATGAAAGAGAGAACATCATTTGTTAATCACACTAGTTTTGTGGTTAAATTGTTAGATTTGTACTAACCAAACCGCAGTTTAGTCAATACAAATCTCCGTGAAACAGCTTTGTATCCGTCACTTCTGACCAGTTCTGACGGCCGGTCTAATTGCGACTGACAGCTGTGACTTACGCAGTCCATCCGTCTGCGGACCACAGAGTTACAGCTATTGTAGACATGGCTAATTAATAAATACTTGAGAGAGCTAAACTTTAACAGAGAATTTAGTGATTATTATAAGAAATATCTTAAGATCTGTGGTTGGAAATTGATATAAAGTAGCAAATGTATAAAACTGAAAATATTCTTTACCGTCTTCCTGAAATAAACGACAACTGTCAAAAGAAAAGTACTGCTATTATGTTGCATAAAGCTATCCATTAATTATTGTCGAATGAACACAATACTCGACAATGGCAACAAATTATACGAAACTATAAAAACTACGACAAAAGCGACAAAAGACTCAAGTATTGGAATGAAATTTACTGAACTGACTTGCTATGAAAACAAAAAATCAAGTCTTTAATATTGTATCGTAAAATGAACAATCTAGAGACGGTATAATAAAGTATGCGAACATCTTGTTTTGTTACAACAGTGTATATACCCATCATCATCTTCATCACCAGCTCCGCACATTCGAACCCAAGACATGTAAATTACAAGACAAGTGCCACCTCTAAGCCACCGACACTTCCCGTTTTAAAATTTATAAGAGAAGAACACCTATTTACTAACGGCCAAATATTAAAACGAATTTTAAACGCTATAGGCACCGCTTACAATCTGATAGATGTTTGAATCTACTTTGAGTTTAAGCGTGGTCTTTTTTAACGCTGCTATGTTACATATATACTTCTATACTATTATAATAAAACATAAACACACACTTTTTTGTTTCCTAAGATTTCAGCAATCACAGCATAATTTACAAATAATTATCTCCTTAATAAAAAGCCCTACACTTACGTCACGCTATAGGCTATATATTTTTACGCCATTAAACTTAGGGGGTAAATATTTTGTATAAAAACCATTATGTGGGAAAGGGACCATAAACTACAAGCTACCAACATGAGGGAAGCAAGGTTATTATGGTAACGGTAATTTTGACATGTGTAATTGAGAATTTAACGAATGTAAAATCTCACGGGAACGCTAGTATTTAATAAGTGGTTCAGTATTCGGCCGATAAACAAAATAACATTGTATAGTAATCGGAAACCAATCAACACAGTTCGTATAACAACAAGCGATGATCCGTGAGATAAGTGTATTAGTTGTTATTTGGGCAGTGATTGATAACGTTTTTGATAACAGGACGTTGATTTTAACACCTGCAGACTATTTACAATATGACTGATTGAAAGATTACAGAATTCTATTTTTAATTAATTCTGTAGACTGGAATGGTGGCCAGTAAATTTTATTGCTTTGCTCAACTGACAGAAGGGTAACTTGCGGATATGTATAGTCGAGGATACTGTTGGTGTACCTATAAAGCTACAATAGTTTAATCATTTTGTAACATGCGGAACAAAAATCAATACAATGCAGCTTATACGCGTGTGTAAGAAAAAAGTCTGTTTGTGATACACGGCTGGTTTCTTTTTATTATTATCCCTTCGTTTCCACTCGCTGCTATCTAAATAGTTATTTGTAGAAGGCGAAGTTGGTCTCGTTGCAATGAACAAGGCAATTTTGCCTGAAGTGAAACACCGTGAAATACCGCAACCGTACATTGTACGAATCCTCATAATGATTTCGGTGATAGGATTATGCAAGTCCAATTCGTTTAATTGTCACTTTCTGTAAGTAAAACGAGATTAGTCCCAATGTTATGTGTTGGTCGGCTCGCCCGGTGTACTACCATGACCACACAGAAAACAGGCGTGAAGTGGAAGCAATTCATCGTACAGTCTTATGAGTGTGGTGCCGGAGGCCTAATTGTAGTCCCTTTCCCTTTCCACCCATTTCTTAAGAGGAAAGGATGGCAAGGAAAAATAGATTTGACGGTGGAGGAGACGCATAGGAAGGGGAAATGTCCTCTTTATGTGCGTCTCCTCCTCCCTTAATGAAGGGTAGGCAACGCATCTGCAATTGTGGATGTTTATGGGTAGCGGTCGCTTTCCATTTCGGTGGATTCAGGTGGCCGCTTGCTCGTTTGCCTCCTTATATTATAAAAAAAATAGCAGTTCGTAGTATACTTAGATTCTATCGATAGACGTGATGGAGGACGACAATCTGGAAAATCGATTTAATTTCTAATTACTAATCTAAATCACATCGGCCTACAAATATTAAGTCAATAAACTCGAATTAACAAAAGTCTAGTCTTTAAGATATCAGGCCGTGATTACAGTTCACACCTGCATAATTGTTTATCTTTGATTATGTCCATACCAAAATGACATATTATTTACTTCACTGACTTATTTTATAGTCCTTTTTATGAATTGACTCTGCTTTCTAATCCCTCCATGGGTAGAGAGCTTACCGTACCCACGCCTGTTAGTCAGAATTAGAGTTGTAACGGAGGCTACTTTAACGGAAGCGGATACGGATACGGAGGCGAAGGGCTTCACCTCTGCAGAAGCGGAGGTTAATTCCTTCCCTTTATTGCATTTCTTTAGTATTGCAGCGGGCGAAAGGACAGTAATAGTAGATGATCTACGCTAGGTATATGGAGGGGCTACTACCAATCATATGGTCTCATTCGAAGTAGTTTTTATGTCTAATTAACGTTTTCTCTTTGTAATAATTAGACGCGTTGCTTACATTTATCGACGGACGACACATATAAAAGGGAGAGAAGGGAAAGGGAATTTATACACGCACTCAACAGATGAAACGCAGAATTGCTTCCAAAAATTAGATGTCGATAGAGCCAGCTTTAACATCTTCGCACTATAGGGCCGGCTCGCCTGGTTTAATATCACGACCACACAGAAAACAGGCGTGAAGAGGAAGCAATTCCGCGTTTCGTCTGATAAGTTTGGTGCCGCAGGCCTAATTTTAGTCCCTTTCCCTTTCCACCCTTTTCTTAAGAGGAAAGGATGGGAAGGAAAAGTGAATTTAACGGTGGAGGAGATGCATAGGAAGGAGAAATGTCCTCTTTATGTGTGTCTCCTCCTCCGTCCATTTAAGGTAGGTAACGCATCTGCAATTGCGGATGTTTTGGGCAGCGGTCACTTTCCATTTCGGTGGATTCAGTTGGCCGCTTGCTCTTTTTTCACTTTATATTATAAAAAAAAACTTGATGCCTGTCTTCTGTGTGGTTGAGGAATTGCGGTAAAGCAGCCTGCCTTATAGTGCAGCAGTTATGCTGGCGTCTCCCACTGTTATAAATCTCAGATATGGAAGACTGCAACAGTTCTGTCGTCAACAGATAACATTAAAATTAATCACTAATTAACATCACCCACTGAGATACTGCACACCTGTATGATAAGAGTTTTGTATAAAAACTGAAAATATCACTTACAATGTATCAAATCAAGTTGCAGAAGTATCTGGTACCACAAACAACAGAATGATGAAATTCGTGATCGCTTTGTGCCTCGCCCTGGCTGTCGCTGATGCCACCAATGTACAACGCTGTAAGTATAACTTCCTAGTCTATTGTTAAGAGCAATCCTAAAGATTTAAGGCTTTTTACATTTAAACTATTGATTAGACAAATTACAAATGCTAGACATGAACTAGAACTAATCACTACTTATTGTATAGTTTAAACTAGATACATTTACTTAAATTGCTAGGTTTAGCTGTGATTTTAATTTTCTTACTATGATTGTTGTTGCCATGAAAGTGATGACACATATAGTCAATTTAGTAATTTTATTTTTATCATTAAGTTTTTTAAATTTAATGTAGTTCTAAAAACAATAACTATATGGTATGTTACACAGGTGTACACCACTCGGGCGCGCTGCCGCAGAGCACACGCATCGAGGGCTGCAATAACCCGCCCTGTGTGCTGCAGCAGCTGCGCGACGCCGTCATCCACATGACCTTCAGAGCTCGTGAGTATACAGAACTAGACAGTTTCTTCTTTCCTATACAATCATGGAATTTAACCTTTCTTCACGTGGAACATTGTCAACTATAAAATATGTTATACTAATATGTTCTCACTGTCCTTGTTAGCTCGCAACTTGCAGTCGATGCGCACACTGGCGACGGCGTATCTAGGCGCTGTGCCGGTGCCCTACAACCTAGGCAACAATGCCAACACATGCAACTTCCTCACCAACACGCGCTGCCCCGTCAGCTCCGGCACCAGCGTCAACTACACCCTTAGAATGTTTATCGAGTCCTGGTTCCCTGTGGTAATACTTTTACACGAGCTATCGCCGTAAACTTCGTTAGCGTAAATTTGACAGCGCGGAATTTTAAAAAAGTAGCCTATAATATGCCCTATATAGTTATATGAAAGTCCCGTCGAAATTGGCCTAGCAGTTTCGGAGATCACGTGGAACAAACGCGGCTTGCAGACAAACAGACAGACAGATAGACAATTTATTTTAAAAGCGATTTGTGTTTTTAGCAACGCAAATACATCATCTTCCCGAAACCTAGAATATTTATTTTGATATAACGGAAGATAACGTTTTTTTTTACCGTTTAAAGTTATAATTTCATATTAACATATGGCTTGTTTTTCCAGGGTACTTCTGCGACTATTGAGTTCAGGATTGTAGACGACAGAAACCAGGCTGTAGTGTGCGTGCGCGTGCCCATCCGCATCAGCCGCTCTGGCAAATTCATCGACGGCGAGAGCGAACTTCCCCGTGGTATCGAAGGTCAATAGACAACGCCATCTATCGTATGATGTCACATACCTCCCTAATGCCATCTATTGACAACTCAAGAAACAACTCGCAACTGTGATTTTTAAATAATTGTTTAATTTTATAATTGTAATGCATGTATCAATCATTTGTCATACATTTTTGAATATTTAAAAAGTGGTCTTAATAAATTGTTCATAACACTAAAGTATATTTTTATTTAAATCGACGATAAAGTTGAAATTCTTATAATAGTGATATCTTAATTATAAAAGATTAGCTTTCGACCGCGACTCCGTCCGCATGGAATTAAAAAATACAAAAGTTAATAGCCTATATGTCCTTCCAGACTATCCTCTACATCTACGTAAAATTTCACCGAGATCCGTTTAGCCGTTTAGGCTACAAAGTAACAAACATCCATCCATCGAAACTTTCGCATTTATAATATTAGTAAGATGTAATCATTTCAAACTATGCTAGTAATAACAAACCAATCACTGGCCGTGCATTTTAGAAATCAACAAACAAAAAATCCGTTACCGGGACTTTTTAATCTGTGAGCTGTCAAAAGTGTGAACATGGGGCATAGATTGACAGCAGGTGAATGGTTACGTCCGCACTGATAACAATAAATAAAAGGCAGTAGTTTGGAGGGAAGGGGTTTATATGAAAAGAATGAAATGTAAAAAATAATTATTAAACATATATATTGGAGAGTTCTGTCTGTCATAACCTACATCTACTACATAACATACAATATATATCTACTCTATATACTTATCTTACTAATATTATAAATGCGAAAGTTTAGATGGATGGGTGTTAGCGTTTGTAGCCTAAACGGCTGAACGGATCTCCATGAAATTTGGCACAGGTTTAGAGCATTGTCTGGAAGAACACATAGGCTACTTTTTATTCCGGGAATAGTTACGGTTCCCGTGGGATTCATTAATTTAGTTTTTTAATGTTCACTCGATCATTCTGCAACGGTTCAACATTTCTTATTGAAATTTGGCACAGATATAAAACAAAGTCTGGAGTACACATGGAATAAGCTTCATCCCAGAGAAATGTCCGGTTCCCGAGGGATACGTAGTTTTTTTGTAATTTATGTAGTTCGTATGTTTTCTAATACCACGCGGACGAAGTCGCGGGCAATAGCTCGTAATATAATAAAGCATAAAGCGTAAGGTTGGATCAATTGCAGTATATATTTTTATATTTTTTTAAATGAAAAGCCCTACACTTACGACACGCTTTAGGCTATATAATTTTACGGTAATTAACTTAGGGAGTATGGAAATTGGAAACAATTGCAATGCTGGAAGCCACTAGCAGGAAAGAAGCAAGATGTATTTATGTTTTGACATTTTAAAGATTACACTTACATGAGAACAGGTTAATAAAATTAACTATAAATAAATAAATATAGTGTGTTTGTCTTTATTTCTTCACTTAATAATATCATTTATATTTCTATTCTATAGTCGTCAGCAAGATTAGATTTCTTAGAACCAAATATTTTTTACTATCTTTTCCTATTAATTTATTTGTCATTTTTAGTGAAGGTATTTTTTAAAAGCATTCCAGTAAGACACACCATTGTATTGTGTTCATTCGACAATAATTAATGGATAGCTTTATGCAACATAATAGCAGTACTTTTCTGTTGATGTTTGACATTTATTTTATGAATTGACCATTGTGTTTACAGTTTTGTTATAAGAAATATCAGACAGTAGAAAAGAATTCAGGCTGAAATTCACAGTGGTAGGACGAGATAGTTTAATTTTTTTGTTGTTAAGCGTTTTGTTTCCTTTTACCAAGTTGTTTTTTCGCCCTTTTCTCTACATTGTTAGATTTAGTCATAGCCAAGTAAAAGTTGAAGATTATACAACAGTTATTTCGTAAACCAATCAACCAATTTTTTATTTTCTCATTCTGTTTATTCCTCGTTTGCTTTAAATTAAAAACGTCCGGAAAAGAAGAGTCGACTTTCACATGATTTATTTAAAAAGTACAAACATATCAATTTCCGTATTGAGGTCATTCGCGATGTTTTTTCCCCGCTTCGAATAGGAACTGGTTATATTTTTATTTCTGAACGTATGAAAGCGTTATTATGTTTGCTGCACTTAAAAAATAGTATTAATTACAGTCACAGAAATATAATCCTCATTTTACGGGAAAATACGGAACTAAATCTTCACGTTCATTAAAAAAAAACGTAATAAAAATTGAAACTTCAGGTTAGGATTTTATATTCTTGGTTAGACAACCAGTGGTAGAGCCCGCTTTAACATCTTCGCACTATAGTGGTAGTGCCGGCTCGCCCGCTGACCGACCACACAGAAGACAGACGTGAAATGGAAGCAATTCCGGCGTTATTTCTGCTTACATGACGGGGAAACCGGACGTGTAGGTTCCAAGTCCGCCGTTACCTACTGCACCACTAACGCTCATTATGTGACTAACGTTACATGTTTTATTTGTATTACCCTAATATGGCGAATTGTAACATTCAATAAATAAATCAAGTGCATTCGATCAATGCTGAATGTGGCTGCGGCCGCTATTATTGTCCGTTCATTTGAAGTCGATGAATTTATAATGCAATTGTATAAACGTATTAAAAAGTTTTTAAATAGTTCAGAGTACCCACATTTTGTACGTCAAGTTAATTTATTTGTGAAAATTCCTAATTTAAAACAGTTCAATACAATGTCAATGACGCCCATCGAAATCTATTTCGATTAGCAAACACATTGAGAATTCAGCGTTTACTAAACGAGTGTGTATCGCAAACTGTGCGCAGCTGACGTGATTAATTGCAAGCCAGCGTTAACTCTAATGAAAACTTAATTTAAATGGCTCCTATGTAAACTATCGTAAGCCACAATTTTACGATTTGAACCTCAATTTATGTGTTTTAAATTTACTTTATAAATCTGGGTGCGAGGCGGTGCACATGGCGACGCGAGCAAGGCCAAACACTATTTCCTCGAAGCGCTTCATTGCATGCAATTCGACACCTCTGTAACTTCGTTGAGGATTAAGAGGTTGAAATTTTTAACATAGTTATATCTGTACACATTAAGGTTAGAGAGAGGAATAACTGTACATTTTGGTTGTTATAATTATTCGTATTTAAAGGTTTTGTCTTGCAATATTTGCGTTACAAACGTACGATAGTTTACGTAGGAGCTATCGATTTGTGAATTTGCACCGCGTCGCTAAATAACATCGGACACGGACTATTAGCACAGACAACACAAATATAAACTTTACGAATTAAACACGAAGTTAAATTCTCTACTCTACTAACAAGAAGTGGATTTGGCGAGGGAGGGGACGTAAAAGAAAAAAAAACCTTTTTGTACATGCTTATCTGTTCATCAGAGGTATGCAACATTTTTCATTTTCCGTTATGTATGGGTTTCAGTTATTTCTAATTGTACGTTTTATACTAAAAAAAACTATGCCAGAAAACAATAAGTCTGTGACACTTGAGAAAAACGCAGCGTTCAAGCAGACTAGAATCTAGATAACAGCGAGTCTCATTTGTTTCCACAACACAACGTCACGTCAAGTGACAGGCTCTACGAAGTCTGCGCTGTCACGCTGCCTAGTGCTTGAGTGGACTCTTAAGAGCGCGCACACCTTTGACTAAACTATAGCACAACTGTTTAGTCTCCTTTTGATTCCTATGACCTTTATGAAGGTGCGCTACTCGATTGCTTGTGCAAAACAGTTGAATTGTCTGCGAAACAATCGACAATCGCACAACAGTTGTGCGGTAGTTTGGTCAAAGGTGTGCGCTCCCTCTAACAATAGGCCGAATGAAGGTTAGACGTCACAAGAAATAATTATACTCAATTTAATTTAGACTTAATCATGTTACTTTATTTTAAGTTACTATTGTAATGGTTAACTATTTTTATATTTTAACGTTAACATTTTTGAAAGAATATTTTTCTGTTATGTTATTTCCTATTTTCATACTGAAAATAATTGCATTTCGTGTAACAGAATTTTATAATCGCTGCTCAAGACAAATAAAGGACAACTAAGTCCTTTAATCATTTCAGATAAAGTATACTTTTCTGTCAAGGTTTCTAATCTCTGTTTTTAATATTTATTGAAAAATAGCTTTTGAGAACTACTCCTTTCGAGAAGACAGAATACAAAAACAACTTAGTAAGTAGCCTATGTGTTTTCCCAAACTGTGTTCTACATGTAACAAACATTATGTGACAACATCCATCCATCCAAAATTGCCGGCAAGTTAAAAACTGAATTCTGTTTTTAATATCCATTTAATGTGTTCCTCTGAGACTAAATTAAATTGTTTTCATAGCAGAATGATATTTTAATTTGTAATTTACCCACTAATGGATCTGAAAGTATTTTTAACATTTTGTATTGGGAAAGTAGTTGAAAGTACCAGGCAATCATAAATAACATGAAAGTATATCGTTACACAGGTTCAGTAATAAATCTCTGTTCGCTCTCCTATATTGTGACACTAATTTGATTTATTGATCGCAATTCCGATAGAAATACATGAAAATAATTTAAATTTATGCTTACATATTGACAACTGGTACCTTCATCATCTAAGCAATATAACATGTGTATAGTCTTTGGATATATGAATTTATTAGCTTACGCTCGCGACTTCGTTCGCGTGGAATTTAAAATAAAGCCGAGCGCCGACCCTTCCAGCACTCGTCCGTCCCCCGCGTGCCCTCACACCGCGCTGCAGTCAGTTGCACACAAAACCATCCCTCGACAACACGTTGCCTATTTGTACTTTTGCATAGTCATAATAAACCGTTTAACTGCCAGCAATTCAGTATTATTCAACTGTCACAAAGAACATACAGTCCAATCTACAAACAGTTCTTTCAGACTATCCTCTACACCTGTGCCAAATTTCATCAAAATCCGTTCAGCCGTTTAGGCTACAAACTGACAAACATCCATCCATCCAAGCTTTCGCATTTATAATATTAATAAGATTCCTTAAACGATTAGGGCAACTTGAAATCTCTATAGACAGTTTTCTGACGTCAGTAAATTCAATGACTAGCTTTTGCACGCGACTCCGTTCTCGCAGAATTAACAACATTTAACACGATTATGTTCTACATCGGTAACAAATTACAAATTGTATCATGTTATTTGATTCGTATTTTTACTTTTGAATACATTTAAGAAACCGTTACTTATGTATATTAAATAGCGAAGACATGCAAAACCTTACTGTATTCGAAACATTCAACGAACCCTTTTTGTATTTAAATTGAATGAAAAATGTACATTAAAATTCAAATAGACTTGGACGGTATTCATTAACAATGCCACAATAATACTCCGATAATGCAAATCGTTTGTAATTAAAACATCGACTCAAACATAACACAATCAAGTTGGATTTAACTTTAGCTTATACTAAAAAAGCAACTTGAATTCAAACAAATTTTACATTTGACTAGCTGTTCCTCTGCGACTTCATCCGCACAAAATTAAGAAAATTGTGTCAAATTATCAATTGCAAATGTCAAAATGCCATGACATGATGACAAACCAAGGCAACCTTACTTCCTTGATGTTGGTAACAACTTATGGTCTCTTTCCCACATTAAGGTTTTATCCAAAATATTTACCCCTATGTTTAACGGCGTGAAAATATATAGCCTAAAGCGTGACGTAAGTGTAGGGCTTTTTATTAAAAAAAGAATTATTCGAAAATATGCTGTGATTGCTGACATCTTAGGCAACAAAGTTGTGTTTACGCTTTATTATATTAATATAACTAGATTGAATTCAAGTTGCATTTTACTATAATAGTAAAAATTATAACGTCGGGTGCCACTGACAAATTATCAAACACCACATTTTTTTAAACCATTGAAAAATCTCATGCAATCAACTTCCAAGAGACCCCCAATTAGCATAAAATATTTCGTTTTATAATTTGGATACTAAAATTAAACAAATATTAAACTGTATTATTCATTAATATTTTAATAACTGAGACATCGTTTTAATAAATACACAATTGTAAATATAAGGGTTCACTCACACTCCGCCTCGTGCATGAGTATGGCGCGCCGCACGTACCGGAAGTGGTAGAAACTGAACACAACCACGAAAGAGAAGAAATAGAGCACTGGAATGAAATATTTTAGGTTACAAATACAAAAATCTGTGGTCTACTAGTTAAACTTTAAAACAAAACTGCGTTTAGGTTACTACTAAAATTAAATCTACGTTCATTTGTTTACAAACGCACAGAAGAGAACCATTGATTTTTATTTATATAAAATAAGATTTTAGATTTTCAACACAGTTCATAATAATAAGGAAATATAAAAACAAAAAATGTACAAAATAACCAAAACGTTTTAACTTAGACGTTTTTTTTTTATAACACAAGGTGGCAAACGAGCAAGCGGCCACCTCAAACCGACCGAAGCGACCGCTGCCCATAGACATCTGCAATTGCAGATGCGTTGCCTACCCTTAATTGATGGAGGAGGAGACGCACATAAAGAGGAAATTTCAACTTCCTATGCGTCTCCTCCGTAAAATTTGCTTAATTTGAAATTCAGTTTACGTGATAATTTTGCTTTCACAAGTCTTGCTCGAATTATATTTTAAATATTAACAAGGTAATCACGCGAGAAAGGAATAAGGTAATATTTTGTAAATTTACTCGGAAAATTTTAATTTGTACTACGTCATAAGTAACCTAATTTGTGTGCCTGTGTACAGAAAGCTTCATTTCAATAATTTGAACAATATCGAAACAATATTCATTTTCTAATTTTCTATAAAACTGCGTATTTTCATTGGTTTAATAAACCAAAGAATAGTAGATAATATTCAATTCATAGTCAATGAAATGAAATGAAAAACTGAAATTTTAGCTCTCATATATATAAATACTAGCTGTTGCCCACGACCTCGTCCCATAAACCTTAATCCATGTGTACCTGGAGTATACTTTACTTTTTTTATCTGTGCCAAATTTCAATAAGATATGTTTAACCGTTGCAGAATTATCGAGTGAACATTAAAAAAACTAAATAAATGAATCACATGGAAACCGTAACTATTGCCTAGATGAAAAGTAGCCTATGTATTCTTCCAGACTATGCTCTAAACCGGTGCCAAATTTCATGGAGATCCGTTCAGCCGTTTAGGCTACAAACTTTAACAAACATCCATCCATCGTAACTTTCTCATTTATAAATATGATATATGATGAATGATAATGATTTCAAAGAATGTTGCACCAACCTGCTCCGAAAAACGTGAACAATCCGCTAACACAAGCCAGGTTTACTAATCTATGCTGTTCGTCTTTTATCTTTGATGCTGGAACAAAGACTTGAAGTTTACCAATATCATAATACATTGTTAATTACGTCATTTAAATAATTATAAATACAAATAGGAATACCATCTTTAAACCGTATACAAGATCGTCCAATTTTAGCTACAGCCAGAGAAACAATTCCCATCAGAACAAACATCGCCACCAGCAAATAAATCTGAAAACATACTTATTTTCACCCACTGTTACAGCAGTTCAATTCAATCCATTAGCTATTTACCAGCATAGCTCTGCAGTTCTCCGTCAGAGCAACTATGATGAGGAGAAAGCCGGCGCCCGTCACTCCGCTCAGCATGGCGCCCGTGCCCAGACTCATTACTGCAACATAGTGGTAGAGCCTGCTTTAAGCTTCGCATGAATGGACGTGCAATATCACGACCACAATGAAGACAGGCGTGATGTAGAAGCAATTCCGCGATTCATCTAATAAGTGCGTGTCGGAGGCCTTATTTAAGTCCTTTTCTTTTCCACTCTTTTTTACTAGGTAAAGATGGGGAAAATGAAGTGGATTTTAGGGAATGGGATGCACAGATAGGGGAACTATCCTCTTTCTCTGCATTTTATGCGTTCCTCTGTTGATTAAAGGTTGGAAACGCATCTCTAAATATGGATGTATATAGACAGTGGTCGCCACACTATTTAGTTCATTCCGGTAGTGGCTTGGCTACGAGATTGTCAGTGGAATTTTCTAAATACAAAACAAAAATGTATAACTAACTCTGCGAGTCCGGAGTGTTATGTATCTTGTCATACTGCTTCCCGTGAGTCAGGATGAGGGTGAGAAGCACAGAGCCCACTAGCACCTGGCAGAAGGCAACCAGCAGCACGCCCGGGAACAGATTGCACACGCCGCAGCAACTCTCGAAGTGGCAGCCAGGCTTGTGTACGGTAAAATGCAACGGGACACGAGGGCTGACTTCGCTGCCACTCCTCGGTCTTCTATCCGAGGTTTTGGTTAAATCCTCGGTACCACTTTTAGGCATTGTAAATAAATCTCTATAGGAAAGAATTTTGACTTATTTCAGACGTCGCTTTGACGTTACAATGTAAAAAAATATAAGAAGATTATCAGACAAATCAACGCAAAAATAGTTTTTTTTATTTATTTTATTTTTAAATTAATTTATTGTATACGTTATTATTTAGTTAAAATCTAGTAATAGAATAAAATTAAAATGTAAATGACAAAAATAAAAAAAATAATTCACATAGAATTGAAATTCTAATTCCCATAATTTTCATATATTTAACAATCTCTGTAATGCTGAAAAAAATTTTTTTATATAATCAAGTCAATGTAAATTAACTAGTGATAATAAAAACATCCAGAATTAGTTACGTAATTGACAAGTAAAACAATCTCCAAACAACACGAAGTGGTTGTGGCACGCAATTGTGTTATGTTTTGATTAACAAAATACACAAGCGAATTACAGATCCATTAAAATGCTGTCTGGAACACGCGCCTCGCATTAATCAAATTGACTGGCCCACATCTAACCTACAATGTAGGTAAATAACGAAATATCAAGTCTATATCCAAATTGGCATAAACCGAAAATTCACACATAAATTCCTTTGTCTTTTATTTGAAATAGAAAAATAAACATACAGACGAATTGAGTACCTCCTTCTTTTGGGAAGTCGGTCAAAAATATCTTTTAAAATAACAATGTTAAAAATACATACAGATGTTTGTCAGCACAGTTAAAATACATCATCTTCCCGAAAACTGGAATTTATCCTTTGGTATTACAGACACTCCAATTTTATTTTATGTATAAGGATGTCTGTATTTAATCTATGATCACAGAGTTATAAAAGTAAAATTGTTTAGACAGGCTTATTACAATTTCTCACTTCAATTGGAAAGGGTCGGAAATGACGATTATCTATTCAAGTAACTTAAATTATTAGTTTTAAGTTCGTAAATTGAAGATAATTTATCTGCATACTTTAGTGTTAATCTGTGTCCGTGTTGTGAGGTTGTGACCAACATTTTAACGTTAAAATAATTGTAAAAAAACTCACAGAGAACATTTTAATCAGGTTAATGTAAGCGTCCTAGCGACCTCTAGCGGACTAATTATGATATTTTATAGTATGCATTCGCTAAAAGCGTTAATGTATTTTACCGGAAAATATAAAACAGAAGAACATAGGTTATTGTAATAAATTATACTAATATTATAAATGCGAAAGTTTGTATGGCAGTACATTTGTTACTACGTTTATGCAAAATAAAAATTCGACGCAGATATAGAACATATTCTGGAAGAACACATAGGCTCTTTTATTATTGTTTTTTTTTAAATTCCCCACCCACTAAGTATGAAGTCGAAGGGTAAAAGTTAATATTATTTGTTATTTTTAAATTACTTTGCGACACATTTCATTCGCTAGATGGCGTTTTTAAGAAATAAAAGCTGAGTGACGTTGACACCTAAATATTGCTTGAGCTCCCTGACCCTCCCCCCGCTGCCCCCGCCAGCCTCGTCACCCCCGCCACTCGTCTGTCCGGCGGCGATGCACATTTTCACTGGAATATTGCTTTTTAAAATTATTGCTGCATTTTTAGACGTGTAATATAACTCTTTGGGAATTCCTTCAATTTCAAAAATGAATAAATTCATGTTCCGTGCGCTTTCACTGCTTATTAATTTGAAGCATTGAAATGCATTAAAAAACGTTGTCTTGCAAGATTGTTATAATAATTTATATAATATTCGTATAGCTAAGAATTTTCACGTAAAACCTAATAAAATGTACATACTGAACATCGCTTGCAACTGAAAACAAGATATCTATTCCTTTATCTACCTTTATCAATCGACTCCTCGCCCTATAACGTATCCATCTACAGCAAACCCAATTTGGCGTGTCAGTTGTATTTGCATGAATATTGGATCACAGGGGAGGAGACGCGGCGGGAATGGAAATACGGAAGAGGGGACACAATAAGTTCGTATCCTGAACGATCCCGGGGCACTTTTACATATTGTTTTCCGTTGTAGACGTATACACTTTATAAACTAGCGGAATACATTTATAGGTTTACATTGCATGATCGTGTACTGTCACGGATATTTGTGGTGTTATACTTTGAGAAATACTGGCTTCTTCTTTGCGACAAGACAAGCTAACTGCTGACCGACCTTCTTTCGTACAAATAGCTTTAAAAACTGCATCCTGTTGGTAATTAGTTCAATGCATAAGAATTTAAACGACTCTAGCTTTAATTTAGAATACTGACAAAGTCCCTAATTGTACTTTATTTCGAACTAGCTGTTTCCATGCGACTTCATCCGCATAAAATTATAAAAAAATCATGTTATTGTTCACACTTGTCAAATTATTAATTGCAAATGTCAAAACGACATGACATGACAAACCTTAGCAATCTGGCTTCCTTGATGTTGGCAACAACTTATGGTCTCTTTCCCACAATAGGGTTTTTATCCAAAATATTTACCCCTAAGTTTAATGGCGTGAAAATATATAGCCTAAAGCGTGACGTAAGTGTAGGGCTTTTTATTAAAAAAAGAGTTAGTCGAAAATATGCTGTGATTGCTGACATCTTAGGCAACAAAGAAGTGTGTGTTTACGCTTTATTATAATAGTATAGATATTGATAAATACAACTTCCAAAGTTCAGTGAAATTAAGGAAAATGTATGGTATAGCACAATAAATAACATTTTCAAAGTTGCCTAAAACAAAATGAGAAAAACCAAAATGGCGGACATTAATTGAGCGCAAACGATTTGTTAGCGGCTCGTTTGCGAATGCCTAACGATTAATAATGGTCGGAATAATTATTACTTGTTACATGCGTTGTAAAGTTTAGAATTAATTGAAAATTAAGATTAGTTAAATGTTTATATTCTCCTAGCTTTTGTCCGCGACTGCGTCCGCGTGGAATTTAAAAAAGTAACCTAGACTGCTCTACACATACGCAAATTTTCATCGAGATCGGTTCATTAGCTTAGCCTATAAACTAACAAACATCCATCCATCTAAATTTTCGCATTTATTGTATTAATAGGATTATTCTGCTTACACCTATTGTTTTACGTCGTTAGTAACATTGCTTTAACCATCTTTAGGGATCGAAAACTTTTTATGTAATGTTTTTAGGTTAACAGTTTAAAATAATCGTTTAAACAAGGTACTTATTTTTAACGTGTAATTAAGTAAAGCATACCACAGGGTCACATGATGACTTAGTTTAGCTTCAACTTAACTAAGGCAGTGGCTCAGTGGGGAAACATTTAAAGACGTACGAATTAAATGGCTTAGAATGGCTCATATCTTATTAAATGGGATAATTGTAAATGTGCTGAAAAACAAATGTTTTAGCTACATAAGTACAAAAGCTAACTAAAATAAGTGACTATGTACGAGTAATATTATAATACACATGCAAAAAAGTCAAAAAAGTTTTGCTTAGAATCGTTAATTTAAAAACAAAATAGATATCTTATGGGATCTTCTTTTTAAAGTGCCATCTTCTTCCGAAGTTCGGCGATCATTAGGGCGACTTTTGTTCTTGACACCGCGGCTCTGAAAAGTGAACGGGTGCTCTTTCCATACCACTGGCGTAGGTTTTTGAGCCAGGACGTTCTTCTTCGACCTACACTTCGCGTTCCGTGAATCTTGCCTTGTACGATGAGCTGCAGTAGTTTTTATTTGGCATTTCGCATTATGTGACCTAGATACTGCAGCTTTCTTTTCTTAACTGTAACTGTTCAACAGTGGTAGTGCCCGCTTTAACGTCTTAGCATGAATAGGCCGACACGCCCCCAGTAATACCACGACCACACAGAAGACAGGCGTGAAATGGAAGTAATTCCGTGTTTCGTCTGATGAGTGTGGTGCCGGAGGCCTAATTTAAATCCATTTCTCTTTACCACCCTTTTCTTTCGAGTAGAGGATGGGAACGGGAAGTGGATTTGACGGTGGAGGAGATGCATAGGAAGGGGAAAATATCCTCTTTATGTGCTTCTCCTCCTCTGTCTGATAAGGGTAGGCAAAGCATGTGCCATTGCAGATGTCTATGGGCAGCGGTCGTTTCGCCATTTTGGCGAATTCAGGTGGCCGCTTGCTCGTTTGCCACCTTATGTTATTAAAAAAAAGCTGGGATATTTCTTCTAAATAACAAAATTTTATGTAACTGCCACTAAGATTCACACATAGGTAATTCAATATGTCCTGTAGTGTACCTTAAGTGTACGAAATATGCCTTAAGGGATTGACTAAGTAGGGTACTGCTATTAGGACTTAAGTCTGACAGCAATTTACATAGTTTACGAATTTTATTCAATTTAAATGGTAAATAAATATGTTAATAATGAAACGTTTTAAATATTGAGATATAAAGCTTTTTCTGAAAGCTTTGAACACGAGTCGTGTATTTATTTAAAAGCCTATTATTTCTAAACGAAACGTTTTCGTCGTGAAAGCATAATAATGGAGACACATATTGCCTTTTAGACTCACATAAGTGTAACAAGGAGGCCAATTTAAATCGTAAAGTGCTCCATGTACAGTTTTTACTTATAATTTACGAACTGAAAGAAAATAATTGGATCTTTTTATTATTAGGGCAAAAACGTTTTTTGACATCCTGGGAATATCCTACCAAATTTCGTTAAAATAACTTCCGTAGTCAAGGAAAGCGTAGACCATAAACAAACTAGTACTGTATTAACTAGTTATCGCCCGTGACTTCATTCGCGCGGAATAAAAATTAGCTTATGTGTTCTTCTAGACTATTCCACATCTAATCTTTTTTTTTTATAAGGAAGGAAGAGTATTGTTAACGTTTTATAAGACATAAATCTTAACCATTCCTGTTATTAATGTAAGCTTGTCAAGCTGTTGTCAGAGTCCGCGTTTACACCAACATGACACTTCAAAGGCCCCGCGCCGACGTCCGCAAGATGTAATTGATTTCTCGAGGACAATCTCCTTACTATTAGGTAACGTCAAATTCAGGCTGCTTATTGAAAATTTCTCAACACTATTACAATGTTCAGTTTTGACATTATTCTAATAATTACCGCTACAAAGGTACTCTTAAGCAAGTAAATTTATTGTGTGTGTGTGTGTGTATTTATTGTGTGATGTATTACGATGGTATATGTCTGTCTGAACAACGGGCACGTGGAACACGGGGTGTGGAACACGGGGCACGTGGAGCGGATGGATGACACTAGAGTTCCTAAATGCGTTATGACAAGCAAACACGAGGGTCGTCGAAGACGAGGAAGTCCAAAGCTCCGGTGGATAGACGGCATAAGTCGAGATGCGAAAACCGTTGGCAGAGCAAACTGGACGACCGTGGCCAGAAATAGGCCGAAATGGAAGAAATTGTTGGACCAAGTCAAGGCCCACAAAGGGCTGTAGAGCTATCGAAGAAGCACTTAAAACAATATATTTTGTCCCTAACTTAATGCCTCGAGGACAAGTTGTTCTAAGTGATACCAATACTTAAACATATGTAAATACTTTAAACTTGTTCGTGAAACTAAATACGTACAAGGGGTTTTAACAAGAGAATGATCGCTTTCAGTTTATTTAAGTTTGATGTTTAAGGGCCTGTCCCACCAAATTGTAAATTGTTTAACAATCCAACATGTAAAATATGTGATGAAAATATCGAATTCCGTTACCTTATCTGACAGTGACGTCTTTTTTAAGCTCTCTGAGCTATCAGCCAGTGGTGGGATAGATACTTAATTATTTTTAAACTGACAGTGAAAGCAGCAAAATAATTCCCCTGAATTCTAAAAACTATGTCGTAATAGTACGAAAAGTATTAATGTGGTATTTATAAATAGGTTGGTGTCAACCTAAAATACGCGAATTAATAATTATGCATGTAAATTTGTTACAATTATTCGTCCAGTCACGCGAGACCCTGCGCACACCTTTGATTAAACAATCGCAGGACCGTTGTGTGATTGTCGATTGTTTCGCAGCCAATTCACTGTTTAGTTGCACAACTAAATATAGTAGTAGTCGAGTAGTGTCCACGGTGGACACTACTAATCAAATCGTGACTAAAGAGTCGTGCGATAGGGAAGTTAAAGGTTTGTTCGCGCTCTCATACTCAAAAATTACTAAAAATTGAGAGGAGTGGATATAATGAAATGACAAGATTACGTGATTTTTGAGTTTGGGGGTTTAAGATGTTTCTAAAAATGTTACGTGAATAAAGGACTTTTACTGACAAACCCCTTCTACTTACGAAGATTTAATTTCCAATATAAATTTACCTCAGGTCTGTTAGAAGGTTGATACAGAATAAGGTTAAGTTTAGCTGGTTTCTGTCAGTGTAACTAGACGGAACCCTAGTCATTGCCCTACGTTACATAGGTTCAAGATTTATTAACAAAACCATTTTTTACATATTGTTTCCTTAACATTTTTTTAAATAACAAGTCCTTGAATGTCTAGACAGAAGTTTGCATTGAAATTATTTAAAAACAATGCAAACATTAATTGACTTATTGGTTCCGTTTCATCGTTTACTAGTTGTTGCTCGCGTCCTCGCCCATGTGTGATTAAAAATAGTAAAAAACATAGCTCACAGATAAATTACCTTTCTAACGGTGAAAGAATTTTTAAAATCGCCCCAGTAGTTTTTACGTGAATCAAATAAATACGACAATTCAAAAATAAAAATCTTTCCTAGAAATAACAAATAGTAGTGTAGATAAGGTGTTTATGAATTTTAAATTTTAATTATGTGGTTAATGCAAAATCCAAACTTTATGGTTAAGAAGTTTGTAAACAGCCAAAGAGGTGGCATACTGGCCACCAAGACTTTTGCCTGTTTAAATATAAAAAAAATTACAGTGAAAAACAAAAGCGCTGGATCTCTAAAGGAAAAACGATGTGATTGTAATAGATTTAAAACAATTATTCACGAAATAAACATTTTATGTTCAAATATAAAAGTGTATTTTTGGTTGTCGCGGAAACCAGTTAAACATGGTCCTTCGGGTTGGACCAGCGACTGATAGATTATAAAGTCTTTATATAGTCTACTCTTCATGAAAATTAATAAAGATTTTTATATAGATAAAATCTGTGAAAAATTGAATCAGAAGTTACCAATATTCAGACATGTGCAAAACTAGAGAAACCAATAATGCGTTATTCTCAAATATTTCCATTATTCTAGCGATCTTCATGTTTCACTTATTTTGTACACTTTTCCTTTTTTGTGATAACTTAAAGTAACAAGGGACAGCTTAAAATAAACATAGAAAACATTTGAACCGTTTGAAAGTGAATATGTAAAGATAACTTCATGTTTAGGGTAATTTAGGCGACCTGCGGCAAGTCACCGGACTCTATCAATACATTCCTGATTTACATACAATACTCCAATACTTTACTATGGTTACAGTAAAACATCGAATGTAGAGAAAATTAGAACCTTCTAGATAAAGTTATTGGTTCTTGAAGTAGAGAGTGACGAAGAAGAATTTGAGTTTTATGGAGATTATTAATCGAATAGTTCTTAAATAATAACAATTACTACACACTTCTAATGCTCGTTACATACGCTCATTTCTAACTGAACATTCAATGATCAATTACATCTGCGAGTGCTTTTTTAACTATCAATAAAACTGTTCAGTTTTGCTGCGTTTTCAATTTACTGTTGCAAGGAACATTCCAGTATTTTTATTTACAGTATGATGTTTCTTTCTAAATACGTTTATATTTAAAAGTATATCGTTACTATTATAATAAACCGTAAACACACATTTCTTTGTTGCCTAAGATGTCAGCAATTACAGCATATTTTTGAATAATTCTTTTTTTTATAAAGAGCCCTATAATTACGTCACGCTTTAGGCTATACATATCCACGCCATTAAACTTAGGGGGTAAATATTTTGGATACAAACCCTAATGTGGGAAAGAGACCATAAGTTGCTGCCAACATCAAGGAAGCAAGGTTGCCATGGTTTGTTATGTTATATCGTTTTGACATTTGCAATTGATAATTTGACACATGTAATAAAATAAAATGTTCATAATTTTATGAGGGTGAAGTCGCAAGAGAACAGCTAGTTAAAAATATTTACAAAGCTTTGATTGGGGATTAACTCATAACTTTTATTTGTGCCGTAAAATATATGTTACATCGCAATTTAAATAGAAAACGGACCCTTTATTAAACTTGGCATATTTGGCCAGTATTGGGTTTTCCTAAAACGTGACCGCGGAACCTCGGGAAGGGTTAAGGAAAATTAAATTTTGATATCATAAATGACACGCTTACCTTGCTCAGAATGATAACAGACTGAATGTTAAACTAGAGATCGTGGTTTATATTAAATTTAGGACTGAAAATAACAAGTCTAGAAATTGTTGATATTACTTATTTCATAACTTTTGACTTAATAAATACTTATTTAAATGCATATTTTTTTAATTTACCTTAATTCAAAGCGAATACGGTTTTTAACGGATTTTTTTATATAAAAATGTAATATTTTCGGTTTAAAAGGGTAGTAAGTAAATTACCTTAATATAATTAGGGTTTAACTACGTTAAAAGTTAATGAACTAGATGAATTTAAATTCATAATGATTTAATTAAGCGCCACCATACACGGACAACTTAAAGCTGTTGTATGCGGTAGCACTTTAAGCGGCGATAGCTCTACCGGCAGTACGCCGATTGCTTAGCTAACCGTTGTCGTGTGTTTCAAATGGTCCTTGTACAGCTACCCTTAATGTCGCGTAACGTAACATCCTGTATATTTTTTTTACTTAACGATTTTATAAACAAGGTGCTGGCTAGCGCCGCCGCCACACGGACAGTGGACAGCTCGACGTCAACGCATCTAACCAAAGTTTTCATTTGAAATTTAATTTTTAAAATCACTCTGTGAAATAACGAGGTGAGTTTGGTGTTTTATTACTGTTTAATTTACTAACGTTTATTAGTTTAAAGTGATTGTTTTAATTAAATTAATAAATATTAGAACGTTAACGTAGCACGGACTATTACTGGACAAATCAGGGGTCCATTTTAGGCATAATGCAACCGCGTAGAAAGTCAACTAACCCTCATCTTCAACAGGACCCGTTGCCGCCACTGGAGAAATAGACATGAGTGTTAACTTTAGCCCTAATTTAGGCCTTTAGGTCTAATTTTAGTTCCTTTCCCTATTCATTCTTTTTTTAAGAGGAAAGAATGGGAAGGAAATATGGATTTGACGGTGGAGGAGACGCATAGGAAGGGGAAATGTCCTCTTTATGTTCGTCTCCTCCGTCAATGAAGGGTAGGCAACGCATCTGCTATTGCAGATGTTTATGGGCAGCGGTCGCTTTCCATTTCGGTGGATTCAGGCCGCTTGCTCGTTTGCCACCTTATATTACAAATAAAACTGTCTAAACTAACTGTCTGTCTTAAAAATAATGTCTCACTTAAATTTAAACAATTTAATATAAAAAAATAGTAATAAATCATACCATTAAGTTTAAGTTGTAGTAAGTGGCATTATTATATCTATTATTACATCTGTAACTTTGAAGGGTAGGTAGAGTTTACATACTTTTGCGCAGCCCTGATTCACCTCTTATTTATAGATACGGCATAAATAAAACAATTGATAGTGGCATTTTAATTAATATTTAATATCAACTAGTAAGTTGCTTTACAAACCGAGATATGGTATCGCGCTAACATCTAAATCCAGTCTCTGCCTACCCCTCGTTGCGTGCGTAATTTATAGTTAACGGTCAATAGTTATGGTACAACATATCAAGCACTACATTATTTAGAAATCTCACTAATGTTGTAAATACGAAAGTTTAGACGGACGGTTGTTTGTTAGAGTTTGGCATAGATGTAGAGAATAGTCTGGAAGAACATTTATTATAATTCTACGTGGACGGAGTCGCGATCGAAAGCTAGTAAATTAATATAAAAATGTATTCTCATTTATTGTCATAATTTGATAGATATTTTTAGTTTGTTGAACCCTTTTTAGTGAGGTAAAAAATTAATCCTAGATACTGATAATATTGCAATTTACTACATGCAGTATCTTGTAAATTCAAAATGGCCGCCATAAAATGACGGATACTATTCTTACAAGCCCTCTATGGAATTAAAAAATAAGTAGTTGTTTACAACATTTCAATATAGTATATTAGAATAAGTCTTGGGCTAATAAAATATCTAGCTGTTGCTCGCGACTATGCCCGTGTTAAATTAATATCTCGCCTCTTTATAATATCAGTGTAGATTATAGTGAAGACAAAGTGGTAGACTAGTTTTTTGTTTTTTTTAATCTTAGATATTGCCTTTAATTATAATGTTGCACTTGTATTCAAAATTACATAAATTTGTTTTAATTTACTATTTATATAAAGCAGCTCTTAATAAAACATCCCCATACATTTACAGGGTTACAAAGAAAGACAATTTTCATCCATTTACGTCTAGAAAAACTTAGTACGCTAGTTAATAAAATTGGCCGACTGAATGAAATGAATATATTGCGACGTAAAACGAAAATTTTGTAAAATTGTTAGGGAAACGCAAAACGAAACGTGAAAGGTAAAATCAGGCTAATAAGAAAAATGGACCTATGTTTTACTAATTTAATAAATATAGTATTGAAAGTGAAAACATATTTACTTGAATAAATACAAAACAATGTAATTATTTAATTTATACGGATTTAAATTCCGAGAAAGGGCAACGACGTGAACTGTGCGGCCATTTGCAAGGCAAAAACACATTACAGTATGCAACGATGCTCGAAAAAAGAAAATTATAATTTATAGCGGCATTGTCACCTTTCACCCTCAAAATACAAGTAATGTTGACAATAAAAAAAACCTTAATTAAGGCAAGGAAGTCGATTCTTTGATATAACCTTTCAAAACCAATATCATTTAATTTTCTTTAATTATTTTGTAAGAAACAGAACATCTTTTAATAATCTACTAAAATAGATCATATTTTTCGATAGGTATTTCGATCTTTAGATCAATTAAAACCGGATTAGTAAATAATGGTTTGAAATCGAAAGTTGTGTATTTCGATCTTACTAAGTATTACGCATCTCCAAAACGGCTCAACAGATGTCGCTGAACGGCATAGTTTTAAAACATTCTGGTAGAACACAGACAACTAATTAAGTTTTTTTTTTAATTCTGTGCGGACGAAGTTGCGGAGATGTAATGTTAAATTAAATTGAAGATGTAAAAAAAAATGAAAAATGTATTTAGAATTGTACTGGATTTAGCAATTCTAGTTTGGGAATTTTCCATATTACTAACAATGAACAAATGCAATATAATTTGAAATAAATATAGGCGAGGTCGCAAGAACAACCACGTGACCTTATTTTATTTAGTAAATTAAAAATTAACATCGACTTGCATTGTTTAAAATTTTACGTGTGATTTTATTATAATCTACTACTTTTATGTAAACATTTATTAACATTTTTATTATTTCAAACTCCGTCAGCACGTAATTTAAAAAAAATAGTAGCCATCTTTCAGACTATATTCTACAACTCTACCAAATTAGTGAAATCCGTTGAACCATTCTGGAGATACGTAGTATGAAACATCCATCCAGTTATAATAATAGTAAGAAGTAATATTTTAAATGAGACGAGTTTGTTTTTAAATGTTACAATTATTAAGGCCCTGTTGCTTGAAACAGTCCGTGAAAAGCCACAGGATGCTGGACACCAACTCCGAAGTATGTTTCAGATGCCGCCGACCACCGTGGCAGAAGATCGACTGACGTCCGGACACCGGCTGTCCCATCCCGCGCCCGGGGACGAAGTCCTCATCACGGGATGCTCCGGCTACTTCCCGGATTCCGACTCCGTCATACATCTACAAGAGAACCTCTTTAATAAGGTAACTAGTTAAGCAATAATTGATAATAGATGGCGCTGATAGCATTTGTAATTTCTTTTTATTCATTTTAAAATAAAATATGGTTATATTAAATAGTACAATATTTTATAAGAAAGGTAACTATAAAATTATAATTTTTTAAGTTGCAAATATATTGTGGATGAATATTTAATAACGTACTGGCCGCCAAGAACGCAAAAGACAAATTAAAATTTAAAAAAAAACGAGGATTTTAGGCGCGAATGAGAGTGCAAGATTTGACGCAAACAATGTAACAATTTAATGGACTTTAATCAAGTTTTGTATATAGTGTGTGTGTTTATCAGAAAATAAAAAATATTTGGTATTAGTTTACATTTATGCAATAACTTTAATTCCACATTTGATTAAATAACCTCTAAAAAAGTTAAGACTTGTATTGGAAATTTTGCGTCAAGGCCAAAATTTTATTCTACTTGATAGACATAGGAATAAAAGTGGATAAACAACTCTAATTTCACCAGCAAAGGTTTTATCCAGAGTCATGAGATATAAAACCGGCAAATCCTCTCCATTTACGGTATATTAAGAGCGTGCGTACAACTTTCACATCGCTTTGATTCATATTGAGCATATATGGAGGTGCGCATTGCTTGATTTTAATTGTGCAACTAAACAGTTGAAATGGATGCGAAACAATCGACAATCGACAGTTGTGCGATACTTTAGTCAAAGATATACGCCTGCTCCAAAATTCTGTTAAAATACCTTACTCTATGTCTTTTTTTATAACAAAAGGTGGCAAACGAGCAAGCGGCCACCTGAATCCGCCAAAATGGCGAAGCGACAGCTGCCC